CGGCGCTGGGCCTGGCGGGCTCACGGCGGGTGTGCGGGACAGTGCGCGCGGCTTGGCGAACCTGGCGGCCGCCGCGGGACGCGCAGCTGGGCACGGGCCTCGCCACAGGTAAAGCCGGCGCCGCGCGACCCCAGGGGCGCGCTCCTGGCGGGGGGTCAGGTGCCAGACCCACCCGCGCCCAGGCCGCAGTCGTAGGCCTCACGGTCCTGAGGTCTGCATGACCCAGGAGGCGGGGATGAGTTTTGTTTGGTGTTTTTCCCCGCCTAGGTGAGGAAAACGCAACCATTCTTGTCTAGCGGCTCGCTCTGCGATGGACGTAGGAGGCCCCGCGTGTAAACTGGCTTCCTGCGGAAGTTCGAATTGGAGAACTAAAAGTAGATGGTTAAAGTGGCCTAGAGAGGGCGTTAGTGTTATTGGAGGGGCCCTTTATTACGAAGCCACGCTCTTACCCCGCCCCATTCATCTCCTGAACTCATTTAAGGAGGTGGAAATCTTGAACCCTCACAGAACAATGTTTCCATGTGTATTCTTAGCCAAGCACGAGACACGCAATTGAGAATAAGTTGTTTTGGGGACCAGCAGTTAGCGTAATGGCTATGTCGCTGGACTCCCATGTGGTCAACTGAGGTTCGACTTGGCTTAAACTCACGCGGGCGCCCCGGTGCGTGTGGGTGCATGCCCAAGATCCCAGGAGGAGAATGGAGAAGGGATTGCAGTATGGCCACCCCCCCTCCCTTCGCGGGGTGATTTCGCGCTTTCTATCTCTGTCGCTCTCTGGCGAGCGCAAGTGCCCTATAGCAAAAACCTCTCAAAAAAAAAAAAGAATATGTTGTTTTAGTGAACTTTAAAGTTCTTTAAGTATTTGGTCTTTAGTTTTCTTGATGAAAGGTTCCCATTAGAAGACACTGCTACCGCTCGCTGGGTTTTTATACACGTCTGCAAATGCCTTACCTGCTTTTGAATACTGTATGGACCAGTGAATTAGCCGTGCATGCTACTGATGGACTGGAGTAGTACGAGGCTGTAGGCCAGTGGAGAATGGCCACTGGGAAAGTGGATCCAGATTGAAACAAGAAGCAGCCTTCATTGTTCTATATAGCAATGATATTTCGATGATTCATTTAAGACAGAGTGGTTCTCAGTTTTTTCTCTTGTGACTAATTTATACATACACACACACACACACACAATACATTGAATAATTCAGTGTCATTTTAATCAGCAATCTGCTGGGTTTTTTTGTTTGTTTGTTTTTTTGCCATAGAGCCGCCATGCATTTGCCAGTTTACCAGAGAAACAAGGCAAGTCAGAGAGAGGAAAAGTGAGAAATCACCCTTGGTAGGATGGCCATGCCTCAGTCCCTTCTCTGTCCTCTCAGGACTTTGGGCATGCACGCACACATGCCCAGTATGATTTTCAAGCTGCTATGTACCTGGCACTAGATTCCGCTGCTTAACCACCACACCGCCTCCTGGTTCTAGCAATCTGCTGCTTAAATGTTCTTCAAATCAAATTTCAAGGACCATTGTATCACCCCATTTTCTTTAAATGATCAAGTTGACAGAGATTACTGAATTGTTATAACTTGAACATTTCTAGGTTGTGGCTTTCTGTAGTTTTCTTACACCAGTAATTTTCATTTTTGTTTTTTTGTTTTGTTTGGGTTTTTTTGAGAGGTTTTTGCTATAGGGCGTGTGCGCTCGCCAGACAGAGAGAGACAGAAAGCGAGGAAGCGCCCCCCAGGGAAGATGGCCATGCCGCAATCCCTTCTCCATTCTCTCAGGATCTTGGGCACACACGCCCGGCGTGAGTTTAAAGCCACTGGGTCCAGGACACGAACCGCGGTCAACCACGTGGGAGTCCAGCGACATAGCCATTATGCTAACTGCTGGTCCCTTTATTTTTGTTTTTATGTATTTAAAATTATTTTATTTAAATTTTTATGTATTTATTTATTTTAATTTGACCAGAGAGGGACAGAGTGAGAGAGAGAGGGAGACAGAGAAGGAGAGCGAGAAAGCAAATCGCCAGGTCCAGGACTTAAACCACGGTGAGCCATGTTGGAGTCCAGCGCCCTTAACCACCGCGCCACCTGATGGTCCCTAATTTTTGTTTTTAAATTATAAAGGAAATCTTTATTTTTCCAATTCACACATTCTTCTCTTCTGGTTTGTAACGGAAACTGCCTTGGTTTTAACCTTTTCTGTATATAAGAAATACTTCACTATCTTAGTCATTAAATTAATTTAAACACCTTTTATTTATTTATCAGAAAATAATTTCCGGTTTATCTCTTCGTCGTTTGAATCCTGCTTCAGCTAAGTAATTTAATTTCTCTTTTGATGGTTAAATTTTTCCTTTGTAGACTAAGAAAATGGCTCTGTCAGCCCAGCAGATACCCAGATGGCTCAACTCAGTTAAATTGGGTAGCTTCATTAGTGCTGCACAACTCACAAAAGGTTTTCTGAGACCAGGAAAAACATGGTCTCATGGCTCTTCTGCTCTGCCTCAGATGTCCTCTGATGATTGCTTTCTCCAGAGGGGATTTAAGACTTACAGGACTTCCTCCTTATGGAATAGTTCCCAGTCTGCCAACTTAAGTAGGCAAGAGACTAATTCTGCCCCAAGCACTGTGCTTCCCTCTGTGAATGTGCAGTCACAGAAGACACAAAAGATACCCAGCTGTGAACCGGAGCTGTCTCTGGAAGGTAATTCTGAACTCTCAGAAACATCCCCTATTCCCCATTTTGGTACCAGTTTACATTCTGCTTGCTTTTGTCATATTTTGTACCAGGTAAGAAAAAGAACAGTGCGAGTTTTATTAATTTATTTCTATTATACTTTTATTTCTCTAAGAAAACAAAGCAGGTAGGTCAGAGAGACAAAGTGAGAACTCACCGGCCATGCCACAATCCCTTCTCCATTCTCCTCTCAGGATCATGGGCATGCATGCATACGTGCCTGGTGTGAGTTTAAGCCACCGGGTCTGGGATTCGAACCATGGTCAACTAAATGGGAGTTCAGCGACATAGCCATTACACAACAGCTGGTCCCTTAAAAAATATTTAGAAGTAACTTGGAGAGGAGGGGATTGGTTTAAAACAAAAACATTTTAAGGACGTGGTGACTTTATTTTTAAGTAAAACCATAGTGCTTTTTGTTGTTGTTGTTTTTAGGTTTTATTTAACTTTATTTATTTAAATTTGACCAGAGAGAAAGAGAGAGAGAGAGGGAGAAAGTGAGAAAGCAAGTCACCAGGTCCAGGACCCGAACCATGGTCAGCCATGTGGGAGTCCAGCACTCTTAACCACCATGCCACCTGCCGGCCCCAAGGACGTGATGACTTTAACCCACACAACTCAACCTGCTAGAATATAGTGCTTTTGGCCAAGTTAACAAGCTATGGTAGATTCTCTTTCTCAAAATGTACATGAAAGTTCGTTATCTTTAGCATTCTTACCTTCTGAGTAAAAGAGAAGAAAAGGAATTGTGTGCCTTGAAACTTACCAACAAATTTCTTTTTTTTTTTAAAGCATCATTTTACTTATTATTATTTTTTTTAACTTGGCCAGAGAGAGACAGAGTGAGAGAGAGAGAGAGACAGATAGATAAGGAGGGAGAAAGTGAGAAAGCAAGCCACCAGGTCCAGGACTTGAACTGTGATCTGCCTTGTGTGACTCCAGCCTTAACTACCATGCCACCTGCTGGCCACCCAACAAATTTCTTATCTTGGAAGAAGAATAGTTACACTAAGCAGTTTTAATCTTACCTCTTAGAAAGTAGAAAAGTTTTGGACTTAGATATTTCATTCTGAAATGACCCTAAGATTTAACCAATGGAAGAAGCAAACTAAGGAAAAGTTGTAGAAATTATTTTAAGTGTGCATATTAGAATGCTAATCTGCCTCTCTTTCTTCATATGACTGGCTTCAAAGAACTGGATGATTTACCTCCATTGTCTCCGTTGGAGCCAGTTTCTGAGGAGGAGGCTATTAGGATTATTGCAGACCCTCCATTGCCCCCAACGTCATTCACACTTCGAGATTATGTAGATCATTCTGAGACTCTGAAGAAGTTAGTGCTTCTAGGTAAGTATTACTAACCTACAAGTCCTTAAGTGTACTCTTAATTTTTTTTGTCTTTTTATATTAATATTCTATTGAAGTAGTGTATATTTGTGAGCTAGAGTCAAATAGTATGGAAAGGCTTCTAGTGAAAAGCTATATTCACTGCTTCATCCTTCCTGACCTACCAACCTGTTCCCCAGAGGTATCTACTTACAGTAATAGTGCTTTCTGTTTATATTTTAATCTCCATATTTTAAAGCTATTGTTTTTAGTCCCATTGCTTACCTTATAAGTTTTAGACATCAGTTGATCTCATATATATACACACAAACACACATGCACTTTTTCCCATATTTGCTTCTATTGTCCCAGTATAGTTAGGGTTCCTTTTTTTAGATAGATTTTTAGTCAGTGATTATATTATGACTGTAAATATTGTTAAGTACTCTAGCAAGAAGTGTATTATGATTATTTTCTTTCCTGTACACCATTTTGTTTTCCTGGAGTTAATAATTTGCCTTTTCATTTGATTTGTTTTCTTTCTTTCTAGGCTTCATTTTTCTCACATCTCCCAGTAGTCTCAGCACAGTTTTTTCCCCTCCAAATCTGTCCTGTTAGATGATGTATTTATTACATTTCCCCAGAGAACCCTGCTCCCTATTGGTTCTGTACCCTCTGACTTATCTCCTAGAATCCCTATCTACTTGATTTGGATAGTTTCTAGGCCTGCTGCATATCTTTTCTTGTTGACTAGCAGGTTTTACTTGGAGCTGGATAATGGAAGGCAGCCAGAGGATCTCACTGCAGACCTTTTGGTCTTCTTAATTTTAGACTAGCGCATAATTACAGCTTACTACTTTTCCTATTACCTCTGGGTTTGGTACTTCTCTTACTCGGTTTTTCCAGATAATGAATTTCTTCTCTCCTAGGGGCTTGAGAGGAATCAGATAGGTAAGGGTTTGGAGGGTTTGAGTTCTGCATATACAAGTCATACCCAGCTCCCCTGTTTTCAGCAGTATCTGACCTCCAACCTCTCAGATCTCTAGGGATTCTAATTTCTCAGCTTTCTGAGTTTTTCATACTAATAATCAGCTTTCTGCTTGTCAGAATTCTCATTCATAGTCATTTCTGTTTCTTTTTTCTCTTCTTTGATAAGCCCGTTACATTCTTACATCTGTTTTCATTTATTTTGACTTAGGGATATGGATAAATCTTATTTCATCAAAGAAGGAACTTGGTTTCTTATTCCCCGTATTTTTGTGGGGTGATTTTTTTTTTTTTTTAATTTATATATTTTTTTCATGAGAGAGACAGACATACAAACATCTTTAAAGGGTGCTGTCTCCGGGCCTTCCCAGCTGGCCAGGATTATGAGCATGTGCACCTGGCATGAACAGGTCAACCAGGGAATCAAACACGTGATCCTCCATGTGGCTTCTCCAGCTTTGCTTGAGCAGCTTATTACACTGCACCACTTAGCTGGCCCTGTTGGGTCATTTCTACCAGGAGAGGGGAAAGAGATAAGCTTTGTTCTGTTAGAAACCCTTAGGGATCATCTTTGATTCTTGATTTCCCCCCCCCTCTTTCCTTACATCTATTTTATATCTTATCCTGTGTATTCTACCTTCTCTGACACTTGCAAATCTATTTGCATCTCCTGTACTATGCTGCTGCCTTTGGTTAGGTCCCCATTTGTCAGTGAATGACTCCAGCAGCCTGTTGTCCAGGATAATCACTCTCTAAATGCTCTCCCTAAAATGCAAATCTGACTATGTTAATGACCTATTTAAAGTTCTTTAAAGCCTTCCCATGGCATCAGAACTCTTTCTGGTTTGGTCCCTGCTTACCTTTGTTGCTAGCTACTTCCTTTTGGTTAGCCAGCAATGACAACTGGAGAACTGAAGTTTAAGTAACTTGTAAAACTCTTTCTTGACCCTGCAGATGGTGAGGCCTCATCTGGATCCTCACTTTAACTCTCAGTTTACTTCGATCCTAACATTAATGGCAATGTATTATAATTGTCTGCTTATCATTCCCTGAGCCAAGTTATTCAGATGTTACCCAAATATATAGGGTAACTTATACATACAACCTTTGTTTTCCTGAAGCTTCAAGTCTTCAAAAACATTTAAATACACATGTATAAGAATAACTGGGGGGCCAGCAGATGGTGTGATGAAGGTGAGATGATGAATATGTTAATTAGTTTGATTTAATCATTCAATCATTCAACATCACTTAATTCATACACATAGACAGTAAAAAAAGAAAGTGTTCTGTGGGACCAGCCAGGTGGTGTGGTGGCTAAGGCAGCTGTATTCCACATGCAATATGCCTGACTGCATATTCAAGTCCTAGACCCAGTGGATTGAAAAACATACTGGGTACATGTGCATACATGCTCAAAGTCTCAAGAAAAGAATGGAGGAGAAGAGATTGTAGTATGATATTACTCCCCCTAAAGAGTGCTTTCTCACTTTCTCTTTCTTTCTCCAGAGAGGACATGTACCCTATAGCAAAAAAAAAAAAAAGTGTTCCATGAGTTCAGAGGCAGGAGAATTTGCTGTGAGTAGGAGGCCAATCACCTCTCTTCAGAACAGCTTTCCTAGCATTATGGCAGGTACTATGGGTGATTCAAGAGAAAACTAAGGCATGGTCCCTACCTTTAAATAATACACAGTATACTTAAAAATTCAGAGTTTGTTTCAGCCGGTACTTTGACTGTGTGTCTTAGAGATAACTTAAATGGCAGTGACTTAGAAGAACCATGACTGCTTTGTTGGACAGTATTGTTTGAGTACCCACATCCTGATTCGTCTCTCTTGGCTTCCCAGATCTGTTTCTTCTTTTCTCTCCCGGTCTGTTCCCCAGGAGGCCAGCCCCAGTGCATTAAGGCTCCTAAGCCAGCTGGGTTCTTGACAGTGTCAACCAATGGGAAGCACCTACAGAATAGAAGATAGAGGCCCAGGTGGGGGGATTTTCCCCTGTCCCTCCCTAGTGTGGGTCCTGTAACTGCTTTGCTCCTTGACAACAGCTCCTCCTGAACAGCCTTTCCTTAACAGCTTCCAGCTCCCCCTGGGCTCTGGTACCATTTGGCCTCCTCATCTCATCAGTGTTAGAAGTGCCTTTGTTATTCCCTTAACTCTGTATACACTGCCGCACACTGCCTTATAGAGCGCCTTCATTAAAGTTCTTTTCATTTGAATTTTCCAAGACAGTTTCTCTTCCCTGCCAGACCCTGGCTGATAGCCAAATACTGCAGATTTAGCAAACTGCAGACCGAAAATAGTAGAAAAATCTGGTTGGTTGTGTCTGTACTGTACATGGACAGGCTCTTATTCCCTAAACAGTACAGTATAACCACTATTTACATAACACTTACATTATATTAGGCATTAGTAATTTAGAGCTGGTTTAATCTAGAGCTGTGGAAAGATGCATATAGGTAATATGCAAACACTATACCATTTTATGTTAGTCATTGGGAAAGTCATGATGTATTGTTCTGTTTTTCTATGCAAAAATATGTCATGACTTTCCCCATGACCAATATAAGGGACTTGAGCATTCATAGATTTTGGTATCTGCAGGGGTCCTTGATCCAAGGCTCGTAGTTACAATGAGACAATTGTATGTGTAGCCATAACTAAATAGAATGTTAATATTTGTAGTTGCTGAACTGATGTGATGAAGCTCAACTAAACAAATCGCCTAGAGATTAGAATCACATATTACTCATTTTTATGTCCTTCGTACCTAACAGAAGTCCTGGTCCGTAGGAGCCTTTCCATGACTGTATTTTCAAGTTAATGAAATTGTGAGTGAGCTCAAGGGATTTGTGCTGAGAGCAACGTACTCTCCTGATTAGATTCTACTCTCCTAATGTTAAAAAGCAGCTTTTCAGGATTTCTGATTTAGCACAATCGGAAAGCAACAGCTCCTGCTGAGCAAGGCACTTCAACACGTGTGAGCTGGAGCTGTTAGTGAAATGTGAAGGCTAAACCCTTCGCATTATTTTTAAAGCACCCACTTCCCCATTTGTCATTGATTTTTAGAACTTATTTCCATCTTTTTAATATAATAATTGGATTTATTTCCTATTTATATTTTTTTTAAATCTCTGAGTTCTTTTTTTTTAAATTATTTTATTTAACTTCATTCATTTATTCATTTTTATTTATTTTAATTTGACCAGAAAAAGACAGAGAGAGAGAGAGAGAGAGAGAGAGGGAGAGGGAGAGCTGCCAGATTCGGGACTTGAACCGTGGTCAGCCATGTGGGAATCCAGCGCCCTTAACCACCACACCACCTGCTGGCCCATCTATTTATATTATTTTTAAATTAAAGGATTATATCTACTTAAGAGTAAATACTGGGGCCAGCAGGTGGCATGGTCGTTAAGGCACTGAATTTCCACATGGCCAACCACTGTTCGAGTCCTAGACCTGGCTGCATCAAGCTGGGGCAGAAGTGTGAGGGCAGTGGGTGGCGTAATGGTTAAGTCACTGGACTCCCACGTGGTTGACGGTGGTTCAGGTCTCAGACCCAGCAGCTAGAAACTCAGGCCAGGCACATGTGCATATGTGCCCAGAATCTTGAGAGGAAAATGGAGAAGGGATTACAGTGCATGGCCAGTCCCCCAGAGGAGTGATTTCTGGCTGTCTCTCTGCCTATCTGGTGAGCACATGAGCCCTATAGCAAAAATGTCTCAAAAAAAAAAAAAAGAAAAAGAAAAAAGAAAAATCACACCGGGCACATGTATGTGTATACCCCAGATCCTGAGAGGAGAAGGAAGAAGAGATTGCAGTATAGCCAACCATCCCCCTGGAGGGTGGTTTCTCATTTTCCCTTTCTCTCTCTCCTGTGAGTGCACACACCTATGACAAAACCCTAAAAGAAAAAAATAAAAAGTGCAAATACTACAAAAGAAAGACTTCTTGTCCTCTCTATACCTGGTTCCACTTCCAAAAATGAACTCTGACTACCAATTTGTTGAAGAGCTTTCTGGTTCTTTTGTGTACCAATAATACAGCATATAAGAAACCATAATTCGGTTTTAAACTTTTGGTGGTAAACGATTTTTTTAATTCTATGGTTTTTGTTTTATTTTGTTTTTGCTGTAGGGCACATGTGCTTGCCAGAGGGACAGACAGACAGAGCAAGATGGGGAAAGTGAGAAAGTAAGAAATCTCCCCTTTAGAGGGATGGTTGCACTGTAATCCCTTCTCTATTCTGTTCTCAGAATTTTGGGCACACACATACACGTGTGTTTTTCAAGCCACAGATCTGGGACTCAAACCATGCAGTCGGCCACGTGGGATCCAGCTACCTTAACCTCTACACCTGCTGGCCCAATTCTGTGTTTTTTTTTTTCTAGTATAGTTAACTTATATTTAGATCCTTAATTTCCTTTTATCATTTTTTTTTTTAATGGTAACTAGTGGCCTCACTGTATTTTACTTGTGTCTTTGTTCCTCTTTGATTTGAAATACCATTATTACTATACAGTAAATTTTTTAGTTCGTTCTACATCTGTTTCTGGTCTGCGCATGTATGATGTGTTTGTGTGTGTGTGTGTGTGTGTGTGTGTGTAATCTATTTTATTGTGGCTATCTTAAGTTAACATCAAGAAATTTATTTTAAGAATTAGAATTGGATTGGGAACCAGCAGTTAGCGTAATGGCTATGTCGCTGGACTCCCACATAGTCGACCGCAGTTCGCGTCCCGGACCCGGTGGCTTAAAACTCATGCAGGCGCGTGTGCGTGCGTGCCCAAGATTCCCGAGAGGAGAATGGAGGAGAAGGGATTGCGGCGTAACCATCCCCCCTCGGGGGTGATTTCTCGCTTTCTGTCTCTATGTCTCTCTCTGTCTGGCGAGCGCACACGCCCTATAGCGAAAACCTCTCCAAAAAAAAAAAGAATTATAATTGGATCTATTACTTGGAGTTATAGTGATTATGATAACTTATTTTTCTGAGTGTGGATGCCATTAAGGAAAGAATGTTTTTATTTCTTTGTTTTTATATTTAACTGTAAAGTTGCCTCTAGAAATCAATCCGGAAATTATTTTTAAATTGAAGAAGCTTTTTAAAAACTGTGAATTTGAGTCAAAACAAGATTTTACAATCAATTCAAATGCTTCTAAAGATTTGGAATGAGTCTTTTCATATTTATTTTAAGCATATAAAAGGAAAAACTGAGAATAAAATATTCAGTGTTAATGAAAATTTTGAATTGTATTAGGTTGTTCACAAAGTCATGACATATATTTCTGCTTTTCTATGCAAAAATGACTGTCCAATGACTCAATAGGTTACATTGGTTCCCTGACTGACTAATGCTGAAGTCTAATTACATCTTGATAACGGTTAGGATATGATTTTCCCCTAAGAAATTCATGTGCTGAAAGCTTAATGTTATGAGGTGGTGGGACCTTCAGTAGGTGGTGACTGGTAGGTAGTTATTTGGACCATAGGGGCACTGTCCTCTTGCATAAATTAATGCTGTCTCCAGGGAATCTTTCAGTAGTGGGTTAGTTCCCTTAAGAGCCAGTTGTTACAAAAATAAGATGACAATTGGGGCCGGCAAGTGGCATGGTGGTTAAAGGCACTGGACTCCCACATGACCAACCACGGTTCAAGTCTCAGACCTGGTGGCTTGCTTTCTCACTTCCTCTCTCTCTTTCTCTGTGTCTCTCTGATCAAAACTGGAAAATAATAATGATAATGATAATAAATAAAGTTAAATAAAATAATTCTTTTAAAAAAAAATAATAAGGTGACTATTCACAGTTCTCTCTGCACCTGCTTTTTTTCCTGCTTCTGTCCACGATGTCATGACCTAGGACCAGAGGCCAGCCATATGCTGGCCTCATGCTCTTGGATTCAAGTACTAGACTCATAAGCCAAATAAACCTCTATTCTTTCTAAACCATCTAGTCTCATGTGTTTCTGTTTCGTAGCAGAATAATCAACTTAAACATATCTGTAACCAAAGAATGCTTTCAAGTAACACTTGGTCTCTCTTTTAATTCTCTCTTCCTAATCCTTGTCTCCTTTACTTAGATTACCTAAGATTATAAAGATGTGAAAGTTGAAGGTTGTGTATTTACCACTTAACTGTATATTTGAGGGCTCTGTATATTCTCACTTGAGTTCCTTCAAGGTACATATCGCTGTGCTAAAGACCTGGATAATGCAGTGAAGAATAAAGTGCAGGGTCATTTTTATTCCTGCT